TCAAAGTCTTGGTCTGGATGCTTACATGCACTTTCCAAATCTCCCTTACCTTACACCTGAAGGAGCATTTTTATATTTTAAAAAGTTATGAATTTTATGCCTTATTATTTGCTCCTCTCCCATAAATATGGCCCCAAAGCAGAGGGTGATGGTGATTATAGGGTAAAAGTGGGATAGTTCCCAAAAACAATAGTTCATAAGATCCCCAAAACACAATGGTTAATGCATGATAATGTTATCTGGCCACAACAGGATTCATGAGATGTTTATAAACTAGCTGGGAAGAAAAGATATATACTCTAAAAAAAACCAAACCAAGAAACAAACCTGTTGCCATCTAGTTGATTCCAAATCATAGCGACCCTATAGGACAGAGTAGAACTGCCCCATAGAGTTTCCAAGGAGGGGCTGGTGGATTCGAACTCCCGGCCTTTTGGTTAGCAGCTGAATGTTTAACCACTGTGCCACCCTGAAAAAGTAAATAATAAAATGTTTTATAACCAGTGACAACAATGGAAAAGAATATTTCAGAAGACAGAACATGTTTAATTGTCAGTGGAGAATTATTATAAAAATAAAGGAATGCTAGAAATACTTCATGTAACAAAAAGATTCCACAGAAAAGGAAGCATAGGAACTTGCCCACTGCTGTCTAAGGAACTTCACAGCAGGCTCTGGTGTGGGGCTAGTGAGAGCAAACTAGAAGGCCACCCAGGCAGCTAGTTCTAGATCTAGAACTGACTACCAGGCAGAAGTTCCAGATTTACTGTATCACCAAGAAAAGCCTAAACTGTTAGTGCTATGGACAGTCCACAGAGTTACCCAGGAAGCATCCTGCAGAGCCTCAGTACTGGTGCACATTCATACCCCCACCAGTGCCACCACCCACCCAGACTGTTTGCACCCATAGCTCACTTCCAGGGAGTCTTCATGTGGACATATTTGATTGGCAGAAGCCAAGTCACCTATTGGCACCCTTGTAGCAAAAGAGTTTGAGAAATGGGGATTTTCTTATTCTGTTATTGGAAGGTAGAGTTCACAATGTGGGGAACTGCAAAGATACAGAGAAGATGTGCAGAGGCTTTGAAGCTGCCTCAAATGGTATACAACCACTAAAGACATGTAGTTTCCAATGTTTTGCTGTTGAACGATATTCTGTTGAACATCATTGTACATGCGTGTTTGTCCACATGTCTGATTCTTTCCTCAGAAGAAGAGAAGTGTGAAAGGTGATTGTCTTTTTTAATACTGTATACATTGACACTGTTTGATTTTTTTTTAAATAAACATATATTACTGAAATATTACAAAAGAAACAATTTAAAAGATTCCATAAACTGTTCCATTTCTAGGTTTTTATCATGGAGAAACCCTTACACATATGCATAAGGTGACATATTCTAGAATGTTCATTATAGCATTTTTAAGTAGCTTTATTTAGATATAACTTGCATACCATAAAACTTTACCAATTTTAAGTGTACAATTCAAGGCGTTTTAGTCAAGTTTATGGAGTTGTACAGCCATTGCCACATTCTAGTTCTACATTTCCATCACCCAAAAAAGTTCCCACATACCCATTTGTAGTCAGTCCTCACTCCTGCCTCAGCCCCAGGTAACTTTCTGTCTCCTTTTGCCTCCCTTTTCTGGAAATTTAATATAAAAGGAATCATATAATATGTAGTCTTGTGTCCGCCATCTTTCTACTTAGCATGATGTTTTTGAAGTTCATCCATATTATAGCATTCATCAGGTCATTCATTGCTTTTGATGGCTGAATAATATTCCATTGCATGTATATACCTCATTTTGTTGATCCATTCAGCAGTTGATGGACTTTTGGATTATTTCTACTTTTTGGCTATTAAAATATTGCTATGAACATTGCATACAAGTTTCATGTAGACATACGTTTTCATTTCTCTTAGGTAGACACTCAGGAGTGAAATTGCTGGGTCATGTGGTAATTTTATGTTCAGCGTTTTAAGAAACTGCCAGTTTTTCAAAGGGGTTGTGCCGTTTTCCAGCCCAATCAGCAGACATGCAAGGGTTTCAGTTTTCCCATATCTTTGTCAGTCTTTTTGATTATAGCTATTTTATTTCAGTGGTGTGAAGTGGTATTTCGTGTTTTTTAATTTCCATTTCTCTAGTGACTACGGAAGCCGAGAATTTTTTTCATGTGGTTATTAACGCATTTGCATATCTTCTTTGCTGAAATATCTATTCAAATCTTTGCCCCTTTTTTAAATAGGGTTGTTTTATTATTGAGGTGTAAGAGTTTTTTATACTTTCTGGACACAAATTCTTTGTAAGATATAATTTGCAAATATTTTCTCCCGGTCTGTGACTTATCTTTTTATTTTCTTAGTGGTGTGTTTTTTTAATTAACAGTTTTATTGAGATACAATTCACCCATTTAAAGTGTATAATTCAGTGGCTTTTAATATATTCATAGAGTTGTGCAACTACCACCACAATCAATTTTAGAACATTTTCATCACCCCAAAAAGAAACCCAGTACCCACTAGCATTCACTCCCCATTGCTCACCAACCCCTGCCCTAGGCCTAGGCACTCATTAATCTATTCTCTGTCTCTATAGATTTGCTTATTTTGGACATTTCATGTAACTGGAACCATACGATATGTGGCTTTTTGTGTCTTCTTTCACTTAGCATGTTTTCAAGGTTCATTCATGTATCAGAGCTTCATCTGTTTTTATTGCCAAATAATAGTCTATTATACGGATATACCACATTATGTTTATCCATTCACCGGGAGATGGATGCTTGAGGTTTTTTGCTATTATGATTAATGCTGCTATACATACCTATGTACAAGTTTTTGTATGGACATAATGTTTTCATTTCTCTTGGATATGTAGTATCTAGGAGTGGAATTTCTAGGTCATATAGTAACTCTTTAACTTTTTGAGGAACTGCTAGACTATTTTCCAAAGCAGCCACACTATTGACATTCCCATCAGCAGTGTATGAGGGTTCCAATTTCTCTACATACTTGGCACACACTTGTTATCTGTCTTTTTTATTTTAGCCATCGTAGTGGGTGTGAAATGGTATTTTACTATGGCTTTGGTTTGCACTTCCCTGATGGCTAATGATGTTGACCATCTTTTCGTGTACTTATTTGCCATTTGTATGTCTTCTTTCGAAAAATGTCTAGATCCTTTGCCCATTTTTCAATTGTCTTTTTATTATTAAGTTATAAGTGTTCTTTCTGTATACTAGATACAAGTCTCTTGTCAGGTATAAGTGGTTTAAAACTGGAAAAGGTGTGTGGCAGGGTTGTATCCTTTCATCCTACTTCTTCAATCTGTATGTTGAGCAGATAATTCGAGAAACTGGACTATATGAAGAACGTGGTGTCAGGATTGGAGGAAGACTAACAACTTGCGATATACAAATGATACAACCTTGCTTGCCAAAAATGAAGATGACTTGAAGCACTTATAGATGAAGGTAAAAAAACTACTGCCTTCGGCGTGGATTACACCCAAATGTGAAGAAAATGAAAATCCTCACAACCAGGCCAGTAAACAACATCATGATAAACAGTGAAGAAATTGGAGTTGTAAAGGATTTTATTCTACTTAGATCAACAATCAACGCCAATGGAAGCAATAGTCAAGAAATCAAACTGCATATTGCTTTGGGCAAATATGTGGCAAAAGACCTCTTTAAAATCTTAAAAAGCAAAGACGTCACTTTGATGACTAAGGTGCCTCTGACCCAAGCCATGGTATTTTCAGTCATCTCATATGCATGTGAAAGCTGGATAATGGAAAAGGAAGATTGAAGAAGAATTGATGCATTCAGATTGTGGTGTTGGTGAAGAATACTGACTTTACCATGAACTGCCAGAAGTGTAAAACAAATGAGTGTTGGAAGAAGTACAGCCAGAATGCTCCTTAGAAGTGAGGATGACGAGATTTCGTCTTGCTTACTTTGGTCATGTCATCAGAAGGGACCAATTGCTGGAGAAGAACATCATGCTTGGTAGAGAGTCAGCAAAAAAGAGGGAGACCCTCAATGAGATAGATTGGCACAGTGGCTGTAACAATGGACTCAAACATATTAGTGATTGTGAGGATGGCGCAGGACCAGGCAGTGTTCATTCTGTTATACATAAGGTCACTATGAGTAGGAGCTGAGTCAGTGCAACAATAACAGCAGTCTCATACGTGATTTACAAAAATTTTCTCCCATTCTGTGGGTTTCCTTTTCATTTTCTTGATTGTATTCTTTGAAGCACAATTTTTTTTTTATTTTAATGATGTCCAATTTATTTTTTTCTTTTGTAGTTTTTGCTTCTTTATGTCATATCTAAAAAACTATAGCCTAATCCAAGGTCGTGAAGAATTACACTTATGTTTTCTTCTAAGAGTTTAATAGTTATACCTCTTACATTTAGGTCTTTGATCCATTTTTAGTTAATTTTTGCATATAGTGTTTCATGGTATCTTTTTAAGAGCAAAAGTTTTTAATTTAAGTGAATGCTAGTTTATTTTTTGTTCTATGGATCATGTTTTTGGTGTCATATCTAAGAATCCTTTGTGCAAGGTCACAAAGATTTTCTCCTATTTTATTTGAAAGATGCACGTGTATTATTTCCTAACTGTGTGGCTCCCGAGTCCTCTTAGATCCGCAACCTAGCGGCTCTGCTCAGTCTGTCTACCTGAAAACCCTCCCCTCTCTGTGCTGTCTTTTCCTTTCACCCCTGTTTTTAGTCTATTCTTATGGTATTCTCTCTCCCTGTGTTCCTTCTTCTTCCTTCCCTCTTCCTCTCCCCGCCCCCCATTTTCCTTTTCCTCTCCCTCCCCAGTCCTGCAGGCAGCCTGATTCCTTCCTTGCAGTGCTTGGCACCACTGAGAAGCTCTGTTCACTGGCCCAAATTAACTGAGAAAAAGGACTTTTCCCCTTCTTCAAAGAGGCAAGATATTTTATCTTGAGGTAACATATTTTATCTCTTTGATTCTCCCAGACGCAGGCCACAGGATCACCACACACATCACCCACTCACGGAGGCAGCCGCCCAATGCCCATGCCAGTCCGTTCCACATCCGCTGGCTCCACCCCCACCCACTGCCCCCAGGACTCCCTGAGCGGGGTTGGAGGAGATGTGCAAGAGGCTTTTGCGCAAGGTGAGTTTCTGGAACAGAGTATAATGGGGAGCTGAAGGGATTTGGAAACATGGATGAGATTCCTGGAGAGATCTTTCCAGTTTCTTTTTTTTGTGTGTGTGTGTGCTCTTAGCTTTAAATGATTAGATTTTCTTATATGGTGTAAATAAGCCAAGTGCTAGCCCCTTCTCATTAGATGGGCTGGTCTTAAGTGAAAGGTCTGTGGGCTACATATGTGTGGGGAAAATGGGCCTCCTGGGGTCCTGTGCTCTTTTTTCCAGGTGGTGGGAAGCGCCTTGTCCTGTTGGCTTTGCCTCCTCCAGAGGAATTGGATGGAATCATTCTCAATGTCATGTGCCTGGCCTAGAAGGCCTTTAAAGCAAGCAAAAGAAAGAAGAGTGGTACTCTAAATAGGACCTTGCTGAAGGCACGTTAAGCATGGCATTGCCACAGTCATCTGAGGAGCTAGTGACCAGCAATATTAAGTAGTTGAGTGGGAAGAAAAAGTAGTTAAGAACAAATTCTTATTGGGGCTGAAGACAAGGCGGGAGGTGGTGGTATTGGAGCATACAGTCCTGCCTAAGGCTGAGAAATACCTTGGCATGATGCTTGTTCTGGAGCCCAACTTTTCTTATCGTATGGTGGCTAAGAAGCACAGAAATGACAGAATCCTGCTCTTCAGGTAGACAAGACAGAGGGAGGGATAATAATGGACTTGGGTACCTCATGCTTCTGATGGTCTGGGAGCAGGTGGAGCGGCCACAGCCCCATCTCTCTTAGGTATTCAGCACCTGTGTCCAGGGGCCTGGCAAAACTGAGGCTTTTACTTGGCTGTCTCCTCTCCATAGCCACCCACCCTGGCATCGCCATCTGCTCTGCCTCTCCTCAGGTACGAGGAGAAACCTCCGCAATGACCTGCTGGTGGCTGCTGACTCCATCACCAACACCATGTCATCCCTGGTGAAGGAGCTGCATTCAGGTGAAACGCAGAGCTCCCGCCCAGCCTCGCATCATCCCCTTCCGTATCCACACCCTCCTCACTTCCTCCCAGTGCTGGCAAGGCTTTATCCCGTCCACACACCACCTCCTTTGGCCAACCTCATTTTGCCACTCAATCTTTTTGCCTTCTAGGAACACTGGACGTCTTCACCCAGACACCATCTCTCCCACATGTGACCACATAGAGATAATTACACATTTAGGTTTATCTTCAAAATATGTATTGTGTTGCAAACACATTTGAGAATGTAAAGAAATTCAGATCTTTAAGTACAGTTAGGCCCTTCCTTGCTTAATTTGTCTTCCATCTGTGCTCTGTCCACAGTTGCTCTTTCCTAGGCCTGACCAGCCATCTCATTCTGAAGCTTTCCTGGATGTCTGGAACCGAATTGACCACAAAAGCTTCTGGACTTTCTCCCAGCTGTCTTTCTGCTCTCACCTGTTTGATTTGGTTTTGAAACACTATTCCTTCCTTTGTCCATGACCAGGCTCTGATTTTACTCAAAGTTCGTGACCTAAGTCTCCTGCTTCCTTCCCTCCTTCATGTTGAGTCTGATCTACAGCATCTTTTTTAGTCTCTCCTTCACTTAGCTACGTCAGTGATTTCCCAGAGACCTTTACCTCATGATGTGCTTTCTCCTTATATAAGACCCAGGGGAGAGAAAGAAAATAAAAGGCCATTCACATTTTATCATGTGTCCAAGAATCCCCATGACCCCTTCAGTTATGTTGCTGCTGGATATTCATTAAGTTTTTTACAATCGTAGGGTTTCTGTGTCATATATTAAAACAAACGAGCTCCCTTCCTTAGTGCTGTGGGTCACTTATACAACCGGCCCTCTTTTGTTTCTGTTCACCTAATATAGTGCTTTGAAATACACTGAAGTAGCTTAGGGTAATTAATTAAAATATAAAGCAGTTTTCTATGGGTTATTGAAAGACAAGTACTTATTCAAACAGATACATTGGGTCATCAGTCCGTACTCTTAGGGAAGCAAACTCTGGGTATTTCTTCACACCTTAGTAAAGAAAGCATATGTCTTCATGTTGTCGTAGGACCAAACCAAGGTCTGGTCCACAGCTTCGTTCTCAAATCTGCCTATTTTCATTTAGAAGAAAATAAGCATGTGGCCTGGGATGGTTTTACCAATGCCATTAGGATAAGATGCTGATTCTCTTGTAGCTGTATGTGTCATTCTCCCCGTTCTGGGACTGGTTCTCAGTCCCCACCAGAAGCATTCCCTCCTGCATATACACCCAAACTAAAGAGGTGATGATGGCCTTTGGAGATGACTTCACAGGTGATTAAAAGGTCCCTTCCCTAATATATCTCCCCACAGATGCCAGAAATCCCACTTTTAGAAGCTGCGTCTTAGGGGATTCCAAGCCATGGAAATTCACCACACTTGTGTCTAGTGGCCACTTACTAGGTTTTATGCAAAACAAGTGGCTGATGAGCTTACCACCCTAGGATGAGAGGCAATTGGACCTCACTAAACATAAAGCAGATAGAGACCAAATAGCTTCACAAAAATTAAAAGTTTATGGGGACACTCAGCAATCCCTCATACTTGGAAAGGGTGGTTTTAACAAAATTATGTAATGTAATTTGGAAGGTACCTTAGAAATCACGTTGTCCAGTCCCTGTACTTTAGAAGTGTAGTGAGTGATATCAGAGAAGTGATTAGCTAAAGTCTTGCAGCTCGAGGGGCCAAAGCTAGTCCTAGAACTCAGGTCTTGAGTGCATTAAGCCAGTACTCTTACCGCCATACTACCCTTATCCCACACAGAACAAGATGCCAAATCTGCAGTCCCCTGAGGGCCCCTCTCACTGATGCGCGACTCCCCCCGCCCTGAGGCCTGTAGATAGGCATGGGCTAAGTCCACAGGTGGCACAGTGGCCTTATAAAATGCGGAAATACACTCCCTTTACATGTGGGGGTGCCAGTTTCTGAATGAGTGCAAGAGTCCTGTCCAACACCAACACATTTTTACAGTCTCCTTGATGGTGGTTTTACAGGTTTTTATTAGGATGAGATTAGATATTCAGATTATCTTTATATATATTTACACAGTGTAGAGATTACAGACATATAGTTTGATCTCCTGACCTTTTCCGATATATTTTCACAATAGAGTCCTAGAATTGAAAATGACCTTAACAAACCAAACCTGTTGCCATCGAGTCGATTCCACTCATAGTCATTCAATCCAATTTGCCGCCCAGTATAAAACTCCTCTCTTTAAATATTTCCAGTGAGCTCATTCATGACAAGCTCAAATCATTTGGAAAGTTCTTCCTTACTGGGGAGCCAAAATCTGTCTTTCTATAACCAGCTCATCCTTGTTCCACTCTCTAAAGCTACCCAGAATCAGTTCAATCCCTGACCTTCATGTTAGCCTTTCAAATATTTGATGACAGATAACATTGCACTTAAGTAATCTTCTTTAGGTTAACTGTACCCAATTCCTTCAACCTTCCTAATGTGACATGATCTTTAGACATGTTGCCATCCTGGTTGACCACACTGGGATGTAGCCCAGTTCTCGAAGGCCCCACTTCAAAGCGAGCACCCAGGGCTAAGCACACTACTCTGTATCATGCGGGATCTTCTCTCTGCAGAGCACAGCGAATCTGTGGCTTCTCTTGATCAGAACCCTGTGGGAGCAATCTGAGATTACATTAGCTTTTTTCCTACACAGCCACATTGCAATGTTGAGTCACTTTACAGTTTTTGTCAGCTAAAACCTGACAGAAGCCAGTGTTAATCTAGGTACCCCCCACCCTACACTGCTGTGATTGCTTTCGGAAACCTGAATGCAGGACTTTAGATGTATCCCCAGTAGATGATGTCACCTTAGGGAAAATAGATGTAGTAAAGAGGCAGGCACCCTCCTCTCCCCGGTCACCCAGGAAGCCAGTGGCAGAGCCAGCAGCAGGGTGGGTGCCGTTAGACTGCTCTGCCTCTTAGAGGCTTGAGGCTTATGGGCAGCTCCTATTAAACGATACTGGGGCTGGAGACTAGGTGAGTTTAGGCACCCTGGGAGGCCTGCAGTCATGAGCCTTCAGCTAGGGTTTCATCACAAGCCTCATAAATGACTCCCTTCACCCTCCTCCTATGCTTGACTGTGCTGAAGGGTCACTGGCCTCCTTGGACTTGTTTTCACAGCAGAGGAAGGTGCAGAGGAAGAAGAAGAGAAGATACAGAATGAGAAAGACAGAGGTAAAGGCAGCTCAACAGGACCCTAGTTTGTATGGGGAGCCAAAGCTCTAGCCCATGAATGAAACCACCCTCTCCCTTTGTGTCTGCTTGGCTTCCCTCTGCCACCTTTTCCCAAAGTTATCAGACCCCCAAAGCTCCGCCTACCTGCTTTTCCTAACTGAAGGTCAAGTTTTACCCTGGAGGTGGTCATGTCAATTGATCAACAAAAGCTTCCTGATTTCCTAATACTATGATAGATGGTTGGGATATAGGAAGTGGATACAAGTAAAACACAAAACATGACCCCTTGCCTCAAGAAATTTATAATCTAGTTAGGAAAGCAAGACTAAAGTATACAAAATAAATAGGAGCTAAAACTAAGTGGGAAACTTTGAATGAATGATTATAAATTCAATAAGCATTTCTGAAAAGGAAGAGATTATTGTGGACTAGAATAGCCAAATGGCTTTGTGGCTTCATGGAAGAATAAAAGCAAGAAAGAAAGATGTCAGCAAAGAACAGTAATGCCTTCCTACTTTTGTCATATATAAAGCCTATCTGATCTTGTTAGGTGCTAAGAATTATGCTAAATAATTTTCATATGTAGTCTCATTTATTCTTTAACACCCCTATAAGATATATAATAATATTCCCATTTACTGATAAGAAAATAACCTCAAGCAGTTTTGATGATATAGCTATCAAGTGGCAGAGGCTGGATTTAAACTGGCTCTTTCTGACTCCAGACCCCATCCTCTTAATCTCCATGCTTCTACGTTCTACTGAACAGATAACAAATTTCTTTTTGGACATTTGAGAGTTAACTATAATTTCTGTCATATATTAATGTGTCTGTTGCTGGCTTCCTCTGAAATGTAAGCTCCACGAAAGAGAAATTTTGGTCTGTTTTGTTCATGTTATACCCACAGTGCCTAGCACATAGTATGGCATCAATAAATTAACCAATCTACAGAAATGGATATGATGTAATAGAGAGTCCCTTGTCAGTAGAGAGAAATGGAGTGGTCACCATAAGGAGACCAAGATAAAGATGAGAAGGAGCCAGCACCAATTCTCTGTCCTGAATACTAAGCACTTAACACACCCCTCCCATTTGATTTCACAGCCTCATGACGGAAGAATTATAGACAAAGCTCAGAGGGGTTAAATAACTTGCACAGGAAGTAAGTGGAAGAGCCTTGATTTAACCCAGGTATCTCCAACTCCAAGCCCATGCTTTAGTTTGAGCAGAACTAGTAGACTAAGTGAAATGAAAAAAGTCTTAACATTTGAAGAACCAAGGAAGGGTAGGAAGGCATTGAGAAGATGCAGGAGAGGAAGTTGTGACTAGAAAGGGGAAGCACGTTGGATGATGGGGGTCTAGAGCATTGTTTACCTGTGGCGGATAGTGCCAGTAAGAAATGGAGGTCTCTGGAGTCTCAGAGGGCAAAGAATTTGTCAGCAAGGACACTGGAATTGCCAAGGAAGAAACTAGGAGAAGAAGAAGATTGTGCCTCAGGTTCTAAGACCATTGAGTAAGTCAGCTAGGCCTAGGAGAAGGTGACAATAGCTATGATCAACTGATAAGAATGACATATTTGGCATGGACTTCAAAAGATCAGTAGAGAGCAGCAGTATTTCGCACCTCTAGACATGCTACACAAAAATCTAGAGAAAACTGACTTCCCCAGGCAGATAGGGGCCTGGGAAGAAGGCAGGAGGGTTGTAGGGGAAGAGGTGAGGAAAAGGGGCAATACATAGAGATAAATTTACGCTTATGTGAACATATGCCCCAAACACATGCACATACACACAATCCAGCCAAATCCCGGCATTCATGTGGAATGTTCTTGGCTAGAGACATAACAGCTGCTTCGTTGGCCTGTCTTCCTGTATACCCTCCCTTCTCCAATAGCTTTTCCCATGGCCTCTCCTAGTCTCTCTCCACTCCCCTGAGGCAAACATAGGACCCTGCTCAGCCCCATATGTCTTGCCCTGCCCATGGACTGTAGCCTTCAGTCCTGGCTGAGGGCTTATATAAGCTGCATCTCATATATGAATTGGGTATCACTTCCTTTCCCCATACCTTGTGGCCTCTGGGGCTCTCTATCTTTGCACCTGTGTTGCCCTGTCAACATCTCTTCTGTCTTTCTATCCTTCTTGCTTTTAGTGTCTCCTTATCTAGATTTTAATGCACATACCAGGGTCTTTGTGTATGTATGTGCAGTCTTTTTATGAGAATGCTGGGATTTTTATTTCCATGGCTTTTAGGTGCCATCCCTGAGGGGAAGAATGTTAAGAGCTGGGGTGAGAGATGGGTAGGGTTTTTTTTAATATATGACTCACAGTGTTGTATAGGTCCTAGTCTATGTCCCTGCCACTAAAATGTAACTGTTATGAAGGAGTAGTTGTAAGATCAAGTGCTTTTATGGATGGACCTCCTGATTCTCTGCCATGATCTAGGCATGAGATTTTACTATAGACTGACACAGCACTAACTAGAGAGAGAGAAAGAAAAGAAAATTGCTTCGTTTGGGTTGAAATCATGCTGACATAAAGTAAGCACAACTTTGTCATCACCCTGTCAAGCAAACCTAATCTACTCAGTGCAAAAACCAAACCAAACACATTGCTTTTGAGTTGATTCCGACTCATAGTGACCCTATAGGACAGAGTAGAACTGCCCCATAGGGTCTTCACGGCTATAATCTTTACAGAAGCAAACTGCCACATCTTTCTCCCACAAAGTGGCTGATGGGTTTGAACCACTGACTTTTCGGTTAGCAGCCGAGCACTTAACCACTGCACCACCAGGGCGCCTTAATGCAAAAACAGTGAGAGTCAAACAGGCACTTTTGAATGACTCAGGAGCAAGCTGGACTTTCCAGCCATACTCACACCTACCTCGGGCCTCTCCTCCTCTACCCTGCTTTCCTGCCTGGCCTGCATCCTGGGGAATGCTTCAGCTCCACTGGGGTTCCCTTCGTACCTTGCACGCTCACCCCTCGCCTTGAGTTGGGAGTACTTATAAACAAGACTACATAGAAGAAGCATCGACTGACATGACTTCCCCCAGATTATCTCAGAATTAAATTATCTCAGTACTCCAGAGCCTCATTTTATGCTCCCGTGTCCTTCAGAAACTCCTCCTCTCCCAGGACCTGCCGCCCACAGTGCTGGTAGCTTGTGAATTCAGTTTGCACATTTAAAGGACCCTGGTGCATGTCTGGTAGACTGACAGCAGCGGCCCTCTGTAAGGCTTTGGAGGGTCCAGGCAATGTTGGAGATTCCAGATCAAGCCAAGAGCATGAGTTGGCATTCCAAAGCAGATGCATCTGCAGGGAAGCAATACTGCCCTTATCAAAGGTTAATTCGGTTCCCCTTGTTCACTTTCAAAACCAGATGGCTTTGCCCCCTGATGTAACTGCCCCCTAGATTTAAGGGGCTTTGTTTTCCTTTCAGTATTATTGTTTTCCTTCTCCTGGAAAGCATTTGTCCCCACGTGGCTGTTTCACGTCAGTTGCAGTTGCTTTCTGTAGACACTGACCTCCCCCTGCCATCGCGCCAGTACCAAAGGGCAGGGCAAGCCCCAGGCCCCAGGTGGGTGGGTCAGGAGAGCACCCTCAGAGGAGATCAAGGGTGCTGACCTATGTGTTGTTTCTGTCCGTGCTGCTGCAGGTTAGCGGAGGAGCCCGTGCAAGAGGAAGCGTGGGTGAGTACCTGCTATGGCTCCGCCCTTCCCCACAGCCCACTCTCCCTTCTTGTTCAAGGCCTTCACTTCCCTCCTCTCTTCCGTCATGTTTCTCAAGCCGGAGTGATCCTAACAGGCAAAACTCAAGTTAGATTTTCTTTAAAGAGCCCAGCCCCACGTTTTCCCATTGCTCCCGGAACCTTCTGCGTACTCACTTTGACCTGTTGTCATGGCCGGTCTTGCACTCGCTGCATGCAGCCTAGGCCGCAGTCCTGGCCTGGCATCCTCTGGGTTGGGATGGAGCTGGCAGATGAGATACTGATGGCTGAAACAGGCTCTGTGAAGGGTGTCAGAGGTGGAATGAGAGCTGCCCACTTCCTGGGGCTGCCTTTGACCCCCCGCGCTCCTGTCTTCCCATAGTCACAGTCCGTTTCTTCCAGGGGAGCCACCCACAGCCAGTGCACCCTGGGATTCTTTCACCCAGAGCTATGGCCTGCCGCCGTACCTCACGGGATCACACTATGCCACAGAAGGACTGCGCCATTCCCCAGGGTGCCTGGCCAAGCTGCACCTGCTCGCTTCCTGGGGAAAAATTAATAAAGATGCAGATTTCCCCGCAGACAAATGCCCATTGCTCTTAGGGATTCACCTTCCACGGTTTTCCATCTTGAGATCTTAACTCTCATCTAATGCCAGCCCCGAGATATTGCAGCCTCTAAGCACACTCACTAATGGAAGGGACAAAGTGGAGAAATCGGACACTCAGTTCAGAGGGGTTTTTTCAAGTATAGATTCCTTTGGTGCAGCCATGAGATTGTTCTTTATTTTTAGTCTTTCTCCCCTCTCTTCACCTCCTACTTCTTTTTTTTAAGTTCAGGCACTTTCCTCAGTTACAGGTCTCAGGGCAGAGAAGCCAGGGCCGCAGCCCCCAAGAGCCAGAAATGAGCTTTCTCAGGGCCTCCCAAGCAGTCTCCTCCCAGAACAGCCACAGGCCCTTCCCGGCTTCCCCAGCCTCCCCTCCTGTCTGCACTGCCCCTCTGCATGGCTCTGTAGGGCTCAGGCCCTGGGGCCTCATCTGCAGTCCCCACCCCCAGCCTGCACTGACTGGGGTTACACACAACCAGGGCAGATTACCCAATAAGCAAGGGTTTACTTGTGCTTACTTCCTAATCTGTAGTGAACAGTTTCTGATGGGTTTCAAAACCCGTGAAACTGTTCATTACAGATTAGGAAGTAAGCACAAGTAGGCCCATGCTTACCTTGCTGACTAGGTAATCTGTCCCTGTCAGGAACTGTAAATTTGAAGAGACTGATTCTGTAAGAAGGTGCTGTAGGGTTGGGAGAGAGACAGATGCCAGCCGTACCTAGAAGCAGAATCTTCGATGTGGTGAAAAAAATGTGTAATTGTTGACTACAGATGATCTGGTAAGCAAGATGAGCACCGTGCTTACCT